ATACTTGCCGGAAACAATACCTGAATTTGCTTCTACAATTTCTTCCTGGCTTTCGCCACCACAATTGTCACTCTCATTATTACTAATCGCTAACGTTCCCGGTGTCACCAACTGTGTATATTCAAAGTCTACACTCTCAGTGTCCGAGCTACTATAATTGTCACTTCCAATAATTCGTCTAGAAGTGCCCTTTGTTCAGCATCAAATAACACACGACTGCTTGAATTAAGATACAAATTTTGAAACTTGTTATTCAGGTGCTGAATGACTGGATAAATTTTGAAAAGTTTGGGAGGTCCTTGATATTCATTTTGCTTACTGTTATCTGCAAAATGTAGAAATTTGGTAATTATCTCTAGTCTTTCCAGAGGTAAAGTTTCAGGAAAAAACGGAGTGTACAGCAACCGGTTGTTTGCATAATAAGATCTGATTGTAGGCTTTTGAACAATGCCTATCAACATAAATAGAGCCAAAACCACGTAAATTTCGTCTACTGTGACATCTTGCCACTTCCTAATCCTAGATCGAAATGTGAGAGGATGGACACTTTTAGAAATTTCTTGCTTAGCATATCTGTTGGTTTCATCTACAATGAGCTGCACAAGAGCTGTATCGAAAATGATTTCGAATGAACTCACGACATCTAGTCCAGCCGTGTCGAACCGAGGACCATATACATTACAAAATGCTTCTCTTGAAGCAGTAAATGGTTCTATATTTTCCCACATATACTTGCCGGAAACAATACCTGAATTTGCTTCTACAATTTCTTCCTGGCTTTCGCCACCACCATTGTTACTCTCATTATCACTAATCGCTAACGTTCCCGGTGTCACCAACTGTGTATAATCAAAGTCTACACTCTTGGTGTCCGAGCTACTATAATTGTCACTTCCAATAATTCGTCTAGAAGTGCCCTTTGTTCAGCATCAAATAACACACGACTGCTTGAAGGGTTCTCCATTGTAAAACTGAGGCCAGTCGTCTATTTTTAGACTCCCAGGTAGTCCTTTAAGGGTTTGTCAACAAGGTTGCCGGATCTTCACACACAGAAAACTTTCCACAACAGAGTGCTACAAACCTCATTGCGCTGGCATTAATCATTACAAAGTTATGAGCTGAAGAAATTAGGCTTAAAGCCGGACGTAATACTACGCACAGCTGCAATCCCCAGGATTTAAAGGCCGGGCGTAATTTTACGCCACTCGGCGGTGAGGAGTTAATATGTATGAGATAGGTTGACCATGCAGTATAAAACTTGTAAGTTGCGTTTGAAGTCTGGACAGATGAGTCTATTTGTGAGACCTATGCGTAGGTGGGACAATAATATTAAAAGTGATCTCAGCAAATAAGGATGCTAAATGTGGATGGATTCAACTATCCCAGGTTAGGATCAAGTAATAAGCTAATAAGCTGTTTTAAAAATGGAGATGATCCTTTGATTTCACAACAATAAACTTCTTGACTAACGATGCCTATCAACTGCGGTGTCAGAACAGCCACCACAGAAATCTGAAATGTACCTGCTTGTGAATCTTGTCAGGGTGTGGGAATGAGAGACGATGTACGCTGGACACGGTCGCTACCAGCACTACAATACTGTTGTATGTCTCATGGATGGTGAGTCCCTCCAGCACTGGGGTGTCCTGGAACTTGCAGCGGATGTTGTTCCCAACTAGGTTCACATCCAGGCTGTGCTCAACCAACTCCAGAACATCGTGACATATCCGCCTGTCAACATCAAAACAACCTTACAATTACACTATTCTGGTTGCCAAAAACTCTTATAAAAGTAGAGAAATTATACTGAAACTTTCACTAACTCACTGAAAAACTAATTATGTAGTACAGGGACTTCACAGGTTCTCAGATCTAAAAAAATGCACTGCTCTTGCAGAATCTGAAGGTTTACAAATAATATTTTGTCACCTAGCATCACAACTGAGAACATTCTATGTTCACTGTGTCATGCATTACATTATTTGCTGGAATGTCTTCTGCAAGGTCTGTGCTTATTTGATTATCTTATCTGCAAGCAAGCAAGTAACCAAGCAGGAAATTTGCTGCAAAGTTAGAATGTTATCAAATTTTATGAATGATTATGATCACCACTGTATCACACTCAACCAAATAATGAGACAAGGACACAGAGAAAATTAAAAAGCATCAAAAAAGAACACCTGGCATTGATTAGATACTGAAATGATGAGAAATGAAGATGGAGAGACCACAATGATCCTGGAATTCATAGGAACATGCCTTAATGATCTCTGTTAAAAAGTTCACAATGATGACAAAACAACAGGAACATTTCTGGGATAAAAATTTCTAATGCAATGGTGTCATATTCTTAATAAAAGATATCTCCTTTCTTAGTTCTAGATTATATGGACTAATGGATAATTCAAATCCCATTGCAAGACTGAATGGAAGCAATAAAAGTTTAATTTACAAATATTACAATGCACAGATTAATTAATCATCAAGAATTTCAATCAACATGTATCAAAACTTCAGTGACAGGCAGAAATGTGCACACACAACCCACTACCTGAATGAATAAAGAGAAGTGAAATATATAACAATAATTACCAATAAATAAATCGGTTTCTTGTGTAATGCTTTGTTGAGTCCTTGTAGCAGTAACCTCCAGCTCTCTCTGGAACTTTGATGTCCTGTAATGTACTCTGTGTCCCCCCTGAAATAAAGAAAGTCATCAATAAATTAATATAAAAACAATGATTAATACTAGAGAAAGACAAATTGCACACTAGATATCAAACACTGTGATTAAGAAACGATGACACAAAATAAGGTTGCCCCATTATTTTTATGAGTTAGTTGTCCTTTCCACAAGTTCCTTCCAGGCACTTGCCATACATATTACTTTGTCTGTTACTTTGGACATTATCCATTGTCTTGGTTATCTGTTAAAACCATATTTCAGAACTGGATCTGATCTGTCTCCACCATCAAATTAAGATAAGGAGAAAGGAGTGCCTAATCTGCCCAAGGAACCCTTCAGAGCATCCCTTTCTCCTTTCCTTAAACTGATGACAGACAGATTTAGTCTCCAAAATATGGTTTTTAACAAATACCCAAGATGATGGACAACGTCCAAAGTAACAGTCAAGTTGATTGTAACACACCATCATCAGAACTCTTTATATGTATATTACTTCGTTTTTGTTTCTGATCTAGCTGGTAATTTTGTTACATATAACAATCATGAAAAACCTAAATTCATTAACAGATTAGGCACTTCGAGCAGGTTGAACAGTATGAGTTAGGTCTGATTCTTGCTTCCTGTATACACTTTTTTCCGACACCCTTACCTGCATATTTCACACTATTTCTTTTAAATAAAACTTTAAATGTATCTTTCAAAAGGCATATTCTTTACGAAATTCAAAGCCCTTCCTTAATTCGAACTGGTCTAACGTTTCACCAACCACAAAACCAATCATTTTTCCTGCATGATTCAACACGAAACGGACTCATATATAGCTGAATCATGTGGGTTCTAATTTTATATATATTAAAATTAGAACCAGTTATAAGTTACAACTGCATGTGATACTTGAACCTAACCTGTATTCAAAGTCAATTCCTTCCATTTCTCAGGCAACGTTTGATCAGGAATAACTTCCCGAAATCCTAACGGAAAGTCCCCCATTCAATCTTGATAGATATTAATTGAGTAACAGTAATACAATTCGTTAAATAAAAATGTTCACTCTTTTAACATCACTTTAACCGCCAAAACTTTAATTCGCCACCAGTAACACTACTGCAAGACAATATAGCCATGTGGTGTTGGTATTACCGGCGTAGCCAACAGAGAACAACAAAATACCTATTTAAAGTTGAAGAGGATGCTTAACCTAATTTGTTTAGAACTTTTCATGCCTTGCATTCATACTTTGTCCATCTTTTGCTCTTTCTTTCTGTTTTGATGATGTCCAATGCTAGTCATTCCTTCTTTAACTGTTTTTTTCTCCTCAGTATGGCAAATGAGAGTTCAAGTCATGCAAATTTAGGATTGTGAAACTAGATTTCTTGACAACCATTTAATTCACAGATACATTGGGTTTCCTGGTATGAGCATCATGGAAGATGTTTTGGCCACTTTCGTCCTGATGGTGACTTTTATGTTGTGAATGCTGCAATTCATTCTATAGTAACTTAATATACCTGTCAATTTGGTACATTTTGGAAGAACTGATAACAGGCTACTCTCAGGAACATTAAAGTACACTGAATAACCTGTTAAACTAAAAATGTATAAATATTCTCTATCTGGGGGAGTCTTCTTTGCATATTTGTCTCTCTCTCGAGGAAACCATCTATGCTTTGTTGTGTATGTGAGGCTCATTAACTCTTGGCGAACATAGTCTTCCTTTTTTTCGTTAATCACAGAGCAAACTTCGTCCAAGGACTGGATTTTCAGGTTTGAGTGAGTTTCTCGTTCTTATGGCAAAGCACGAGAACAGTCGTAAGGAAAATGTGTCTCTGGATGCCAACATACTATAGCTGAACCATAATCAGTTACTGTGATTTGTTCTCCCAAACTTCGAGATGAAGACGAGCGTCCGATCGACCAAAACACTTTCCCAGTATGTATAACTAAATTCGGTATGTGATGTTTGTACCTCATCAGTACCGAAGCCATTTACGAATCTTGTAAGTACCATTCAAAACACGTCAGTGAAAGGAACTATCTTGGGTTTACTTTATAGTGTTTGCAGCATTGCTCCTGTTGTCTGACGGTAGTAGAGAAGCAGTGACGGGTAGTTCGGTGTGGGCGATTAAAGCCGTTATGTGAAGATAGTTTGACGTCCTTATATTACGGAAATGCAGAGAAGTGGTAAGCTCAAGTTCTGACATAAGTCAAAACCATATTTTTAAGTGTAAGGGCAATTAAGACATGTTCTTGTGTTTTGATTGCCAAACACTGATTAAAATACAATGCATGGCGCCAAAACCTAAATGTATTGGCACTTGGATATTCCATGCGAATTTCTTTCATAAGTAATTCATTCTTATACATGATTATAGGTTAATGTGTTACAGCAGAGGGATATTACGCACTTTGTGTATTAATTTTTATTCACGTGAACGTACTTATTGAGTCGTTCAGTGGAAAATAATCTCACCGCACATGAAGAATGGAAGATATTTTCAAGTGTGCAGAACATATATGTGCCTTTGCACAGTGTGTTTTAGTGGTTGATGGTTTTTCTGAGTTTTGCAACCACAAGATATATAGTATGTCATTTATGTTCTTAGATTTTGCTGGTGTAAATCATTACTGAGAATATCCCAACTTCAGCCAAGGGAGTCTAGGTTAGTATGAATTTAAGGAGCATAAAGCCATGATTCGACGAAGGATGTTTAATGTCATTAGATGAAAGGAAACAAGCCAAATTGCAATGGTTACAGGATCTGAGCCAAATAAGTGGAAGTAATCTGAATAATGTATGATGTGAAGCTAGTAGACATTTCAGGAACAAAACGAGGGAATGTCTGAAAGACAAAGTTAATGAGCTTGTAACACATAGCAAGAACAAGAACATTAGAGACTTATGCAAAGGTATAAATGCATGTAAGTAGGGTTATCAACCTGGAAATAACTTGGCATAGGATGAGAATGGTGATATGCTTGCAGATTTTATCGACCAGACTACACAGTGCAACAACCCAGAAGACAGAAATCTTCAGATTTTCACAACATTTTCATTAGGTGGAAGAATTACTTCTCTCAGTTGTTGAATGCACATCGTGTTAGTGATGATAGAAATACATATGGCTGAGCCATTAGTACCTGAGCCTGGTCCTTTTCAGGTTGAAATTACTATTGCAAAATTGAAAGGATATAAATTCAGACAGAACTGATTCAAGCAGGAGGTGAAACATGTTCTGAGATCCATAAACTCCTAAATTCTACAACTAAAACTCCTAAAGGATTCAAGATCCTAAATTCTGTTTGGAAAAAGGAAGAATTGCCTAAGCAATGTAAGGAGTCTATTATTGTACCATTTCACAAGATGGGTGATAAAACTGACTGTAGTAATTATTGAGGCATGTCACTGTTATCAGCTTCATTCAAAATTTTATCCAACATCCTTCTCTCAAGGTTAAGTCCATACATAGACGAAGTTATTGGGGATAATGAGTGTGGGTTTTGATGTGATAGGTGAACTACTAATCAGACATTTTTGTAAAATGGATGCTAGAGAAATGGGTTGGGGTGGTATGGAATGGATTCATCTGGCTCAGGATAGGGACAAATGGCGGGCTGTTGTGAACATGGTAATGAAGCTTCAGGTTCCACAAAATTTTGGGAATTTCTTGAGGGGCTGAGCGACTGTTGGCTTCCCAGGAAGGACTCGGCTCCATGGAGTTCCTTAGTTAGATTTTGCTGTTGAATGATGTTGTTTATTGTTGTTAAATCAGTAGGGAATTGTGTTTTCATATTGGGAGTTTCAAGTTTAATGGGCAGCTGTGAAATATTATTTACTGTGGCATAAACATAATTTTGTTTATAACTCTATGGGGGAGAGCTCTTCTTGAAAAGCTAAGTTACTTTGCTAATCAAGAAATTACCTGCCATGGATTTGTTGCAGTCTTGTACAGGGTCTATGCTGAGTTTGGTGAATCTGGTCCGCACTTTCCCACACTTCTTAAGATCAATTAAACAAGTCTCCCATCAATGTTTAGGTCTGATAAGTGGTCTTATCATTTTTAGGCTTTCCAACCAAAATTTTGTATGCATTTCTTATCTCCACCGGGTATTGTTTTTGCCCCATCCATCATGTCATCCTTGATTTTGTTGTCTAGTGACATTTGGAGAAGAGTAAAACCTATGAAGTTCCTCATTATGCAACATCTGCAGCCTCCTGTTACTCCCTCCGAATCATTCCATGTAAAATTGACACACTGAAGTACCATTACCTTGTCTGACATACAGAGCTGAACTTGAGATAATATCAGAGCACATGAAATAGCTTTAAAATTGATAATTTCCTTCTGAGATTAGGCATTGTGTAGACTGCAGTCCTGAAGGTGGAGACAGTATGTTTCTCCATAATGCTGGAATCTGCCATGTCTATATAGCGCCAAAACCCAGAATGCCATCGTCATCATCTCACCTCCGTGGAAACTTCAAATCTCACAAGATGTAAATTTGTCTGTCATATAACTGCATAAAAACAAAAGATAGTTCAAAGTCATCAGTAATATTCATTGACATAAAATTTTGAAACAGGTACAGTGTCAAAATTAAAAAAGTGTCATAGGCCAGTACTTGCTGAACACATACAGTACAATTTGAGGTGGAACTGTTAGTATGTTGAGAGCTACTGAATGTTTTCATGAATATGGTGCAAATGCGCATATTGTGGAATTTGGTTCTGTATAAAAGTGCAGTCATTAATTATATTCAGTATCTAAGGAAAAATATATATGTAGCGCAGTAGTCAGACACTAATCTTATCTATGTAAGGAAGGAAGTGTTTTCCTGGTTGATTCTTTTACTCTCGTTAGCTCTGATAATCTATTTCTTGTGGCAGTGCACAAGTCAGCTTTCATCAAAGTATTGTGCATAGGAACTTGCAGGATGTCCAGTCTTGTAGCGTACATATGTGATGGTGATGGCCTATTAGGGTGTCGGAACATTATCTTTACCGTGAGGATGATTTGTCTTCTGTGCTGTTACGCCATGTAGTGGCACAAGTTTACCGATGTTTCAGAGGTGCTTGACGGAGATGATGGACACCAGGGCGATGAACATGACTTCGGCATTATTCGAGCAAAGTGGCCGAAATTCATCTTGTAAAATAAGACAATAATTTTCAGCTAAGCCGCATGCAGTGTACTTATTCATGCTGAGAGCTACCTTGTACTTGTATGCTATAAGTAAATAGCATACCACAATTTGTAGTCTTTGAAAGAAAATGCCCAAAATTTCTTTGATTATATGATTAATAGTTTTTAATGTTGATCTGTCTGTTATTAGCTATTGTCTGTATGCCACTTGATCTGTTGAAAGAAATCTCTGAACATTTGCTATAGCTTTTGTGTAAGAGAACAGTACTCACAGTATCCTAAGTGACATTCTTGTAACGAAGGATTACAAGTGATACCTGGCAGACAGTCTTTGTAGGAAGTTCCCTCAGTACTGTAAATTCTTTCAGTTTACTTCCTCTTACAATAATTATATGTTTTGGTATGTGCTACATACACGTGCTCCAGCTGTAACCGCATTCCTTGGATTTATTTCACAAAATTGATAAAATCCAGCTTTTACATTAGATACCACTGTTTAAATAATGAGTTTGATTTTCTCATGTTGCGTAGAAGAAACCATTTTTGTTTGTGAACATTTTCCCATGTTCTTTTATAGGTGCAAAATATTTTTTCCTGTTATGCATCTGCTTATTTCATCATCATAAAAATTATTAAGAAGCTTCATACTGTCATCTTCTAGAAATTTTACCAGGTTTAGGTTTCAAAGCAGATAGTATTCCACCACTGCCACCACCACCACTATTTTTCCAACACATTTCAACCCACTATTGCCATTACCAGGTGTGGATGCTTGTTTGAAGTCATTGAAGTCTATGATTATCTCGCTGCAGTTACTTCAGATGTGTGTTCAAACCTGATGATGGCCACATTCATCTGAAACATGTAGTTCAAAAGAATAAACTGTGAACTATAATTGTCTGAAAAGTGATTGACAGGAATTAATAAGAATCAACATAATACACTGCAGTGCTACACTGCAGACAGAGTTTTAGTGTTTCTGATCGAACCTTTTTTTTTTTTGTACCGTCAGATTCTCATATGTCTGGAAATAAATATATGGGGAATTTCTTGGAGCCATTATTA